GAGAGAGGAGAGAGAGGAGAGAGAGAGAGAGAGAGAGTGAGAAAGAGGAAAGAGAGAGAGAGAGAGAGAGAGAGAAGAGAGGGAGACAGAGGGAGACAGAGAGAGGGGAGAGAGAGAGATTATGGTGATAAAGGAAAAAGCTGGAAGGACCCTTGGAGGTGACCCAGCCCAACTTTGTCATTTGACAGAGACAGGTAAAGGAGGGCCAGTGCTGGATAGAGATGGGGCTATACGGAGTTGGAGAGGGATACTAAAAAGGAGATATGGGAGGACCAGAGATGATGAGTAGGAAATAAGGTTGAAGGCAACAATTGGGATGGGGGATAGAGACAGAATGAGAGACTGGGGGACAGGAGGACAGTAGTGGACAGAGACAATAGAGAGGGGAGGAGATGGAGGGACATCCTGGGGGACAGGCATTGGGACAGAGTGGAGCCCAATGGGAGTTCTGTACAAACATGGGACACAAAGTCAGGCTCGGGAAACATGTCGGCTGATGGGTTGAGGGGCTTGGAAGAAGCCAGTCTTTGACTACCTTTGTGTGGCCGTTTGTCCTGCGGTGTCCTATGGCCCAAACCTGACCTGGCTGGACTAAGAACAACCACATTCACTGGCTAATGTCCCACATACTCTCAGGGAGCCATGGGCTCCTGGAACACTTGACCCATATGGACATGACCCCTACTGAGCATGGATCATACGGACACAGGCTATGGGCTCTGGGGAGAGCTGTGCCCCATGGGGACGAGAAGCTCTTTCTAAAGGGCCCATTCTTTCCCCAGTCATGCTTGGTCAAACAGGCGGAAGTGATAACATCTTGTCCTCATCCTCCCTGGCCTTGGCACTCCCCTAGGAGTCCAGCTGTGGATCTGACTATAAACCAGAGGGAATAGAGAGAATTAGGGAGAGAAAAAGAGAGAGTGGAGAGAAAGAGAGAGAGAGAAAGGGAGGGAGAGAGGGGGAGGGAGAGAGAGAGAGAGAGAGAGAGGGAGGAGAGAAGAGAGAGAGAGAGGGAGGGAGGGGAGAGCAGAAATAGACGTGAGAGAGGTGATTGAACAGAGATAGAGACAGACAGAGAGACAGAGACAAGAGACAGAGAAACGGGGGAAGAGTGAGGGAGAGGGAAAGGAGCAGACAGGAGAAAAAGAAAAAAAGAGAAAGGAAAAACATGAGAGAAATGTAGGAGAGAAGAGGGAGAAAGACAGGAAGAAAGAAACAGAAGAAAAAGATAAGAAGAAAGGTAAAGGGGGAGAGAGACATCAAGGAAGAGACAGAGAGCAAACGTCATTTATCTTGCAAATTTTTTTCAAGGGGCAAAAAACAACCAACCCTCAAATGTGGAGTCCGTCAGTCCAAGGAAGATGCGCACTGTGGTTGGAACAAGGCAAAAGAGAAACACCTTGGAGGAGGCAGGCTCGGCTCGTGCCCTCAGTCATTGGTAGGGTTGGGGGCTCCCTCCCAGTTCTGCCAAGATGGTGACGGTGCAAGGGGAGAAGGTGGAGGAGAAAGGGGGTAAAGTTAGAAGTTAGAAAAGGAGGAGGAGGAGGAGGAAGACGAGGAAGACGAGGAGGTCTTTACGGTCAGTGACAGAGAAGTGATGTGGATGTTTTTTCCAGTGACGCCCTATAGCTGCAAACCACAATTTCCAAAGAATCAGAACTGAAGATCACCCATAGGGACGGTAGGTGGTCTGACCGCCGATAACTCCTTCTCCAGGAGCAGAGGACAAAGCCCCCAAGACTTGCTTCTGGAACAGGAGGGGAGCCCATACCTATGCTTGCTCACATGTGTGGAGGGGAGAGGCTTCCCAAGCTATGCTGGTGCCCAGGGAAGTCTCGGTCGGCTGCCAGCACGTGGAGTGGACAGACGAGAGCTTCACCTACGAGAAGGCTGAGGCGGGCTGTGGTTTGCCCACAAGGAGGGGCAGATCCGATGGTGCATTGGAGCACTGAAGGCAGTATCCAAATGTTCTCTGGGCCCTGTGCCCACTGGCTGTTGCCTTAGACACACAGTGCCCGCTCCTGCCTTAGCAGTCTTACCTCCCTGCCTCAGTTTGCCACCACACGTCCTTCCCTGGGGCACATCTAGAATGTACAAGGTATAATCGCTGCACAGAAAAGATTCTCATCCCCAGCAAGCAGGAGAAGGAAAGTCTGCAAAGTCACTTGGGCTAATAACCCTGACTCCACATAATGAAGGCATGGGGCCAACGGCTGGTCAGAAGGGGCAGTGTAGAGCAGTAGAGAATGCTGAATTTGGAGCTAGAGGGTCTGAAGTCAAATCCCAGCTATACCTCTAGGCCACCTACGTGACCTTGAACCAGTCACCTTGCCTCTCTGGGCCTCAGTTTCCCCCTCTGTAGAATGAGGAAGTTGAACTAAGTGGTCTCCAAGGTCCCTGCCAGCTCTAAATCTGTGAGTGTCTCTCCAGGTTGGGCCCCCTCAGGGAAGAGTTTCTAACTGGACAGACAGTCAGGGGCCCCCTTGAACAATTCCAGAGTGGCCCTGAATCATCACAGCAGCACCCAGGGGAGCCCCTATCCTGGGGCAGTAGCCCTCTGTGTGGGCCCGCTTGGGACAGTGGCCTTTGGGGGTGGACCTGGCCATTGGTGCCCGAGATTGAGCTGGACATCCCCTGGGGGCTGCACGGAGGCAGCATTCCAGGGCCCAGCTCAGTTATCTAGCACCTAGTAGGCCCTGAATCAAAGAGCATCTATTAAGTACCTACTGTATGCCAGGGTTGTCACCTTACTCTAGAGACCGTAAACTAAATGGAGGCAGGAACCATTTTCTCATTTAGATTTTCGCTCTTCCACGGCCCTAGGAGAGGGCTCCGCCCACCGAGAAAGGGATGTGTGGTGGGAACTGGAGCCAACAGGACCCGGATTCAAATCCCAGAACTGCTGCCCACTCCCCCTGGCTCAGGCAAAGCAGTCTTCTCTGCTGAGATGGGGTCCCAGCACCTGGCACATAGGAGGCATTCTGGCTGATCGATGAATCTGATACCAGAAGGAACTTCAGAAGCTGCCAGTCCAGACTCCTAGTTTTACAGATGAGGAAACTGAGACCCAGAGAGATGAAGTGACTCGCTCAAGGTCACCCAAGCAATAAGTGGCAGAAGCAGGATTTGAACCCGGGTCCTGCCACTCCTGAGCCAGCGCTGTGCCAGAGGCAGCCCTGGCCTGGGGAAGCCAATGGGCAGCTGTGAATGTTAGAGGGCATCAGGTCCTTCCCTTATTTCCAGGTCAAGGGGACTCCTGGGCAGGCTGTCCCAAACCTGAGAGGCCCGGCCCTTTGGGGGTTGCTTTCTGTTGAGCAGCTCCTAGTAGACACTGGACACTGTCTGGGTGTCTGGTTGGCAGCCCCTGGGTCAGAGATAGAGGCCAGCCCAGCACAATGAGGCTGTTCAGAAGGGGTCTGCTCCCGCCCTTCTCACCCCCGGGGCCTCGGGGGAGCCGAGCAGCCAGAGAGGATGTGAAGGCTGTGGGCTGTTGGCACAGGAGCCAGCAGAGCCTGGCACAGGGCTGCCTCCCTATTCCCAAGCTAGTGAGGGCATCTGGAGAGTGGAGCTGAGCTGGGCTCTTCCAGGGCTGCCGACAGTCCCCAACGAGACCCCCGGGCCAGCTCTTCAGTGGGCCTCACTTCCTCTGGGGGAAGTGTCTGAAAATTAAGCTCTCCCACCATGGAGGGTGACAGGCACCCAGGGACAAATAGCCTAGAAAGGCAAGAGCCGGGAAGGGGCTGGTGGGAAGCCGGAGGAAGCAGCCAGGCATCTCTCCCTCCCCACCAGATCCTCAGTATAGATGTGCCATCTAGCTGGAGCACAGACTCGGGCCGAGAGAGGCTGGCAGGCGATTACAGAGGAAACCTCAAGAGTAGCTTTCTGCTGCATCCACACAGTTCACCAGGGCTTTGGCGGATGACAGACGAGCGGCTGCTGACATTTCTTTCGGTTCCTGGGACTGAGGAGCTATTAAAATAGTTTCCTGATGCCTCTCCCTCCAGCTCATTCCCCATCCACCCCCCTAGACCCAGCCCTCCCTGGTGACCATCAGGCAAAACCAGGATAGACAGACATATCGATCAGCCCACAATCTTCTGCCCCCTCCAAGAGCAATCCCCCCATGGGAGGACGGGGAGGTTCGAAGCCTCCTCTCTCCTCAGGGGCCTTCGTTGGCTTTTCCATCACTCAGAGCTCAGCTTCTTTCCAGGGATCTGCTGATTTACGTGACTACAGAATGGGCCTCTGGCTTGGCTTTCTGCTCCTTTCCATTTGCATTTGTTTCTACCCATCTTCAGGGTTTCTCCACATTCCTCAGGGTCCCCATTTCTCAAAACACAGTAACATTCTTCTACGTTCCTGTTCCCTGGTTTTGGGGCCATTCCCCAATTGAGGGGCACAGTTTGTAATTCTTTGCTACCACAAAGGGCATCACTATGTATACTTCGCTCTAGGCTGGACCTGACTTCTTGGAGGTTCTAAGTCCAGTTGTGGGATTGCTAGGTCATAGGGCATGGATCCCTTAATAAGCAAAACCCACAACTGTTGGACTTCCCAGTCCCCCGCCCCCAAGCACCTCCAACATTGGCTGCTCCCATCCTTTGGCATCAGTATTAATGTGCCTGGTGCCAGGTGAGGCCTCATTTCTCTTCCCAGTCATCATTTGGAACACATTCTCATGAGCTCATTTCTAGTTTGCAAATTTAAGAATTTTTTAAAATTTGTTTTCTGAAAATAACAAACACCAAATCAAATGTACACAGAACAGAAAGAGGGTTGTACGTGAAACTGCAGATCCCAATTCTGCCCAGCTCCCTTTTCAAGTATGGAATTATCAGGTCCTGAAATAAACCAAAGCCGTGAGTTGAGGAATAAATCGTCTTTAATTGAGATCACAGGGCAGCAGATCTGCCAGCCTGGGGGATAGCCAGTGAATTTCCCAACCAAAGAGACCCAGGAAAAAGTGTTTATAGTTTCTGGTGGGGGCGAGGAGCTCGAGGTAACAAGGCCAGGTCACAAGAGCCCAGCGGCCCTGGGCAATCGGAGCAAGGACAGCCACTTCATTCTGGCTGGTTTGCCCGTCACAAATCCCAATGGAAGTGGGCAATGACCTGAGAAGCTGAGAGCCAGCTGGGCTCCCCCATGAGGCAAGATCTCAGGATGGGGGGATGGGGGTGTGGTTCAGCTCCACCTAATCTCATTATCTGAGGGGTAGGAGCATGGGACATTACTGGAATTTTGACTTCGTCATGACTACAGGTTTAGGCAATCCATACTAACAATTTTCTGTCATTTCATTAACAAAACAACAGTTTTGCCAGAATGAAATTCAACACATTAAGGCCCCAGCCATTCTGCTGGTCTGCAATTCTTTCTAGCCTTTTTTCTGTTTTCTTCTGGACACTGATCAAAGTTTGGGAATCTTCTCTTGAAAACCATTCCCTGCCTGGAGAACGCCTCCTTCCGAGGAGCTCTTGGGGTTATGACTGTCCCTTCTCTGTGGGCTCCAATGTCAGGCTTTTATTGGTGGGATCTGACTGGAACCCTCCCCCCCACCTTGCAGGCACCCACACGTTTTCTGCCTCCACCTTTTTGTCTTAGAGAATGTCCTCCATCCTCAGGCCCCACTCAGAGCTCAGGCCTGGTCCAGCCCTTCGAGACCTACTTTCTCACTCTTTTTAGACTGAAGGTGATGGCACTTTTTTTTTTGCTTTTTGCTCCATATTAAACTATTAGGTCGGCTGCCATACAGAATGGGAGGGGTTTTCTGTCAGGGAAATGCTTCCCATGGGACCGAGGACACCAAGGTCACAGAACAGTGGGGCTGCAAAGGAGAGGATTGGGCAAGAGGTGCTTTCGTGGTGGTTCATTTTTAATTAAGCCTAATTCCTCAAAATAACAACATTCAAGATGGCCCAGGGAAGGGGGCAGATTCCCAGGCAGCTCCCCCCCAGCAGGACATGAGACAGGTGGCCTCCGCCCCACAGAGGTCAGTCTGGACGTGTCTCTGGGGGAGAGCTCAGTCACGTCTCCTGCATGGTCAGCTCCAGGCACGGCTTCATCATGGACAGCAGGTTCAGGGCCGACAGGCCGGGCACATGGCCCGCACAGATCTGCAGAATCTGAATGAGGCGCTGGGCCACTGAGGCCCGGAAGCATTCCACCTGCAAGAGAGGACAGAGAATAAGAAACATCACTGGGGGGAAGGGAGGCTGGACCTGTCCTTCCTAAAGCCCAACAGTCATTCATTGAACAAACACGGGGGAAGTCCCCCCCCCCCCCCGGGACAGGGGCTCGGCCTGTCTTCCACCTTCCTCCCCCCCCTACCAAAAACCCCCCCCCCCCACACACACAGAGTGCTGGCTTTGGTGAGCCCTCGCCCATCACCCCAAACTCTATACACGACGGCCCCATTCCATTCACGGGTCAGAATTTAGCCTAGACTTATGCTCACCAAGATTTCAAACTCCAGGGCGCCCGTCTTTAAGCAGCGCCAGGTCTACCAACCATCTGGGGGAGAGGTTATTAGCATCACAAAGGCCTCTTCCCCCGCAGGGTTCACTTAAACACTGAGCCCCCACGAGTGGATTTAAAATAGGGTTCAACTGACAAGCCCATGACTCACACCTTTCAGGAACAAAACTGCTCCATTCCTGAAGAGCGCCAGGACAGTTTACAAAGTCAATCTTCAGGCAAACCAGCCAGATTATACCCATTGACAGACGAGGAACCCGAGGCCCCCAAAGGCTAACTGCCTGCCCAAAGTGGCAGGGCTGGTGTGTGTCTGGCCCCAGGCTTTCTCACTGGGATGCAGAGAAACAGAAAGGAGAACTCTGGGAGGCCCCAGTGCTGTCCATGGTCCTTCCCTCCCCCCTCCCACTTCAGCCCTGCAGGGCCAGCAGGGCAGGGTTCATCCCTCCCAACTACAGAGGAGGAAAGGGAGGCTTGCAGAGAAGACCGACTGAGGCCAGGGCCTAAAGCTGCCACCTCGTACCTGGCGGCTCACCAAACACTAACGGGGTCGGGAGCCCTGCTCAGAACCTGTTGGGTCACCTCGGGAAACGGCTTCCCCTCTCTGGGCCTCTGAACAGGACCCAGACCGTTACTCAGACCCTGGCATGACCACCAGGAACAGAGGGGATGCTCAGGGAGGAGACGTCTGGTCGCTTGGATGGGGCTGGGGAAGGAGGAATGGAAAGTGCCCGGGGGTCAGAGAAGCTGGGGTCAAATCTCTCCTCCGCAGGGCTCTGTAAAATGAGAGGGCTGGACGGCTGGCCTCGGAGGCCCCTCCCCACTCCATCTCCAGTGTCCTAAGGGTCTGAGGGAGGACCAGGGGTTTCTTTGTCAGTCACTCCCCCTGGGGCAAGGAGCAGCAGGCCGGGTCTTTCTTTGCCTGCCCTGCCACCTAGTGGGCACAGAAAGAATGACTCCCCTTGGGGCGGCCCAGCTCAGTGGGAGGCCGGGGAGGGGGCGTGGCCACGCTGAGCCAGAACTGGACCTCAATCTAGCCCCCTCCCACGGTGCCCACTCGGCAGCCCCTCCTTCCTCTGTCCCGTGATTCCAAGTCAGCGCTGGCCAGCAGAGCCCAGGGCCCAGGAGCCCGACCCCGTACCCTGGGGGGCTCAGGCCTCCCAGCTGTGTCGGGGGGGGGGGGGAGGGCAAAGGGTGGGCAGCAGGAGTAGTTAAGGCCAGTCACAATCATGAGGGTTGTTATCAATAACCTCCCAACATCCCACAGTCTTGTCACGGCCTTCAGGGGACCCTGAGCTGGACCAGTGGAACCCAAGTGCTGAGAGTATCAGCTGAGCTGGTGAGGGTCCGAGGCTCCAGCTGGAGGCGGCCAGGCTGGTGGGCACTGGGCACCAATCCGGTTGAGTCAGCAGAGGCTGGTGACTGATGGACAATTCACTGACGCCATGCGACCCTGGGCCCTTCCAGCTCTCATGACCATTAATGGGGTGGCACCTAGAACGTGCCAGGCACCAGGAGGACGGAGCCTCCAGCATAGTCGAAGAGACAATGCGCTGGGACAGGAGGACCACGCGCGTCTCTCGGGGACCTCAAGATGTCCCAGCGGCCATTCTTCCGTCAGAGCCTCACAACCACCCCAGAGATCACAGGCTGGCACCCGGCTCAGAAAAAGAAACCGAGAGCCAGGGTCACGCAGCTAGGATGACGCCCAGGCTGCTCCCCTGCCCTCTAAGCCAGCCAGCCTCAGAATCAAAGGCAGGATGTGGTCAGGGTTAGCCTGGGCGGCCCGGAGCACCTGGGTCTGTGCCACCACGCTCCCCTCCCCCGATGGGGGGAGAGCCAGGGCCAGGCACTTCCTCTCCTCACATCATTTCCTCCCCTGTAAAAGGGGGGGGTGGGTCAGACTAGACATCAGTGGAGGAAGAACTGGCCTTGTTCTGCGTGGACCCAGGGCAGACGTGGCAGCAGAGGCCAACTGAGGCAAAACCAGCCCAGAGGGCCAAGTGTCCCCAAGGGGGAGGGGCCCGGGGGGTGGTCCCTGGAGCAGACGCTCCTCTGGGCGGGGGCTGGAGGGGTTGGGCTGGACTGAAATCCTTCCACCAGGCCCTGCCCTCAGGTCGCTTCCTGCTTCCTCAGACCCATCACCTGTGGGCTCCTGAGGGAGGGGCAGCCTTTGTCTTTCTTTGTGCCCCCAGCACTTGGCATGAGCCTGGCCCAGGGAAGGCTGACCCACTGCCTCAGGGCGAGTTCCCGGAGAGGCTGCCTTCCCCCAGGACACCAGGGATGGCCAGAGGAAGTAGCCTGACCAAAGCGGCAGCACTGAGGGGGCCACAAGGCGGACGGGCAGCCTCGGCCCAGGCCATGCCCTGAACACAGCAAGGACCATGTCAGGGCTCAGCCCCAGTCCCTCCCCTCAAACGCATCCTGTGCCTTCACCAGCCAGGCAGGAGGAAGGGCCCAGGCAGCCTCCTGTGAACCACTGGCTGGATGAGGTCAAGGAGGGGGACTGCAGGGGCTTGCCCCGGGAGCCCCAGGCACTGACCCATCTGTTTGAGAAGAGGCCTTGGCCCCCAGGGGAGAGTTCATGGCCTACCAGAGGGAGGCAAGGGAGGCTGCCTGGGCCCTCCCTCCTGCGCGCTCACCTGACTTCTCTGGGACTTGTACAGTGTGCCAACCCATGGGAGGGCAGAAGGCACCCCCGCTGTCAAGGTCCCAGCTCCTCCCCCCTCCCTTCTTGGTGGTGTGCCCGGCAGACGCTGGTCTGAGTCCAAGCCTGGGCCACGGGGCACCAGGGGTCCTCACCTCGAGGTCACCGAAGAGAAGAGGGCTGTGGTAGGCGGTGGCCATTTTCCGGACGGCGTCCATGTGGATGCTGGTGTTTGGCTCTTTTCTGACTAGAAAGGGCAGATAGGACGTGGTCAGTGCGGAGAGCAGCTAACCCACCCCCGCCAGCCGGGGTAGGGGTAGGAGGGGCGTGAGCACCATTGGGAGCAGGACAAGAGGGACCGGAGAAGCCGGGAAAGCCTTGTCTGAATGGAGTCAGGGCAGACAATTCACACCACGACCCCAATAACATAATGAAGCCAGCACAGAGAGGCCCTAGACTTCAGGGGGGCTGGACTGGAACGTCTAGAACCCTTCAACAGATGTGGGAGACAGGAAGCAAACAGATGAAGGGAGGAAAGGTGGTATAGTGGAAAGGATTCTGGCCCTGAAGTCCCAGGCTCTGGGTTCAAATTCAGGCCTCTGATGCTTGCTGCCTGCGCTATCACGACTAAGCTGCTCCCCGAGCCCCGTAAAAGGAGGGTCAGCCTCACTGCTCTCTGGGGCCCCTTCCAGCCCAACACGGCACCGCCTACCTCCAGTGACCAGGAAGCACACCTTCCCCAGGAAGAAGCGAGCGTCCACATGAGGCAGGGACGCCTCCACAGTCCTCAGGCTGGGTGGGGCAGAGAAAGGGAGAGCGGTCAGGAGACCCAGGAGCCACTCTTACCCAGGCCGTCCCCCGAGGCTGCCCCAGGAGGGGCCGCGGGGTCAGGGCCCAGCCCCCATGCGGTAATCACTGGTTCCTCCTTCCTGGGCAGGATGAGGGGGTTGGCCCAGGCACTATCGGAACCCAATCACAAAACACTTTTCAGGCAAATAAAGTCAGATCTAAGTAAGTGGAAAAACATCAGTTGTTCATGGATAGGCTGAGCTAATATAACAACAATGACAATTCTACCTAAGCTAATTTCCTTATTCAGTGCCATACCAATCAAACTGCCAAAGACTTATTTTATAGAGCTAGAAAATATAATAACAAGATTCATCTGGAAGATCAGAAGGTCCAGAATATCAAGGGATCTAATGAAAAGAAATGCAGGGGAAGGTGACCGAGCCACTCCAGATCTTATATTATAAAGCAGCAATCATCAAAACTGCTTGGTCCTGGCTAAGAAACAGAGCGGTGGATCAGTGGAATAGGTTAGGTATGCAAGACATAGTGGTCAGTGACGATAGTAACCTACTATTTGATAAACCCAAAGAACCCAGCTTCTGGGATAAGAGCTCACTATTTAACAAAAACTGCTGGGAAAACTGGAAAAGAGCATGGCAGAAACTAGGCATAGACCAAAGTCTCACACCGTATACCAAAAAAGTCAAAATGGGTTCCTGATTTAGATATAAAGGCCGGTACTATAAGCAAACTGGGAGAGCAAGGAATAGTTTACCTGTCAGATTTATGGAGAACAGAAGAATTTATGACCAAACAGGAGACAGAGACCATTATGAAATGCAAAATGGATAATTTTGATTACATTAAACTGAAAAGTTTCTACACAAACAAAGCCAATGCAACCAAGATTAGGAGGGAAGCAGAAAACTGGGAAAGAATTTTTACAACCAGTGTCTCTGATAAGGGCCTCATTTCTAAAATATAGAGAACTAAGTCAAATGTATAAGAATACAAGTCATTCCCCAATTGATAAATGGTTAAAGGATATGAACAGACAGTTCTCAGATAAAGAAATTAAAGCCATCTATAGTCACATGAAAAAATGCTCTAAATCACTACTGATTAGAGAAATGCAAATCAAAACAACTCTGACGTACCACATCACACCTATCACATTGGCCAACATGACAAAACAGGAAAATGATAAATGTTGGAGATGTGGGAAAATTGGAACACTAATGCATTGTTGGTGGAGTTGTGAAATGATTCAACCATTTTGGAGAGTAATTTGGAACTATGCCCAAAGGGCTACAAAAATGTGCATACCCTTTGATCCAACAATAGCACTTCTAGGGCTATATCCCAAAGAGATCACACAAATGGGAAAAGGACCCACATGCACAAAAATATTCATAGCAGCTCTTTTTGTGGTGGCAAAGAATTGGAAATTGAGAGGATGCCCACCCACTGGGGAATGGCTGAACAAGTTGTGGTATATGAATGTAATGGAATATTATTGTGCTATAAGAAATGATGAACAGACTGACTTCAGAAAAACCTGGAAAGACTTGTATGGACAGATGCTAAGTGAAGAGAGCAGAACCAGGAGAACGTTGTACACAGTAACAGCACGTTGTGTGATGACTAATGTTGATAGACTTAGCCCTTCTCAGCAATGCAAGGATCTAAGACATCTCCAAAGGCCTCATGATGGAAAATGCCATCCACACCCAGAGAAAGAACTATGGAAGTCGAACTGTTATTTTTTTTTCTCTTCTGTTGAGTTTTGTTTCCTCTTTGTGATGGTTCCTCCTATTGGTTCTAATTCTTACTTACAACATGACTAATGTGAAAATATGTTTAATGGAATGTATGTGTACAGCTTACATCAGATCGTGTGCCATCTTGGGGAGGGTGGTGGGGAGGAAGGGGGGAGGAAAACTTAAAACTCAAAAGCTGATGGAAGTGATTGTTGAAAACCAAAAATTAGTTAATTTTTTTTAAAAAGGAAAAAAAAAGAACTAGGGGGTTGGAGTAGATGGTCAGTCAATCAGTGAGCATTGATTAAGCACCACTCTGTACCAGGCACTGGGCAAACACAGCCAAAAATGAAACGGCCCCTGCCTTTAAGGAGCTTAGTCACGCCCTTCTGTCAAGGAGATGACGTATGGACATCTGAGAATGTGCAAGAGAAAGACCAAGTAATTTGGGGGGGAGGGGGAGGGTTCCAAGTCCTCAAGGAGAACATTGCCCTTGAGCGAGGCTTTTGAGGAAGTGAGGGATTCCAAGGAGCAGAGGTGAGGAGGGAGGGCGTGCCAGGCATGGGGGACAGCCTGTGCAAAGGCCTGGTGATGGGAGATGGATCCCTCAATCAACAGTCCCCATGAAGTACACAGGAAAGGTTCAAAGGGCTCTGTGCGCTCCGAGGAGCAAGAGGTCGCTGCCAGCTGGCGAGAAGAAGGGAGGCTTCCCAGGAGCCTTTGAGTTTGGCCTTAAACAGCTGGAGACCAATGGGGAGGCACCTGGGAGAAGAGGAGGAACCGCCAGACATCAAATGAAAGACGGAGGTGCTGGATGTGACACGGCAGGGAAGGCCTCCGGCACAGGGGGTGGACTTCTCGTGATGAACTCCTGCAAGGGCCCACCTCGAGCCCCTCAGACCGGCAGGCATCCCCGAAGGGCCCCGAATGCCAAGGTCACAGCTCTCCCGGCCCAGGGCACGACGCTGTACAGACGTTCATTCCATCTGACCCTCCCCAGGGGGACGGTGACCTGTGGGGCAGGAGCACCACACTCCAGACCTCGAGAGGCCACGTTAGGAGTCCGAGGTCCCGGAGTGGGGGCTCGAACTCAGGCCTCTGGACGCTACAGAGGGGCTTCTTGGGGCCACGCCCCCTCTCAACAACGGGAACCCCTGCAGATTGTCCAGCTGGGGTGCAGGAAGGCTAGCCTGGGGGATGAAGGCTGCCTTGTGGGAAGGCGGCCTTCGTGGTAGCTGGGGCTGGGGGGATGGGCTCTGCGGCAGACGAGCAGATCTCAGGGCACTTTTGGAGACGGGCTCAAAGGAGAAGTGCCCATAGCCCGGCTGTCCCCCTGCAGCGGGAGGAAGCAGGGAAGGGGGTCCATCGAGGCCCGGGTGAGACCACCCCTAGAGCGGCTGACGCGGAGCCAGCCTCGCTCCGGCACGGAGCACAGGACGGGGCTGCCAGAGGGAGTTACTGGAGACCGAAGCTGCCACAGCTCACCGCGAGGCCCTCCGCCCAGCTCCCAGAGAAGGCCCCAGGACCACCCCCCACCCCTGTGCTTACCTATATTTGCTGTGGAGGCTAAGGACAAACACGATGAGGTCGATGCGGGGCCGGAAGCATTCCCTGTCGGTGGGCAGAGGGAGACAGGAGGCCACGTGCCTGGAAGTGAAACAAGCAATGCCAAGGTCAGCTCGGGCACCAGCCGGGTGCCGGCCACCACCCCCTCCGCAGAGGGGACGACGGCCCGGGGTCCGAGCCGGCCACGCGAGGACGGTCCTGCAGGGCGCGGCCTGGGCTGGGCGCCAGGCTCCAAACACAGGAAAACCTCTCAGGAGTCGAACCCCAATAACAGGTTTGTAACACTTCCCTGACCACAGTCCCCGGGGCGGCGCTCCTCTATTCCCAGCCAACAAGTTGACAACAGAAAATGACACGGCTCCATCGCTGGCGATGACGGAAGGATGAGGCCTGACCATCTGCTGTGCCCCGGCACGCGTCCGCCTGACCGCCAGCTGGAACCCGAGGGCAGGCGCTCAGCACATAGTAGGTGCTTCACAAACGCCTTACTCGTTCCGTCACTGCCTACGGAGGGCGAGCCGATTTAGAGACGCCACGCGGACGGAGATGGCAGCCGCGGGCGGCATCCCAAAGGACGGCGACGACGGGACGGGGACGACGGCCAGGCCGGCTTGGCCGAGGGCTCCAGCGGATGCCAGGAGAACAGCCAAGTCCCCCAGACTCTGTCTTCAGTGCCGCCAAGGAAGGAGAGGGCCCTCAGAAAGACAAAGCCAGGAAAAGGACCAGACCAAGGACGCGCTGCAGGGGGCCGGGCCGCGGCCTTCCTTCACACGCCTCGAGAGAGGCGGCAGAGCCCCCAGGACCCCCGGCCTGCTGCTCACCTCCCCGGGGCGGCCTGGCCAGAGGCCTGGGCCCGTGGAGGTTCCCGAAAACCCCTCCGCTTCCCCCTCCTGGCCAACTCACACCTGGACCTTGGCAGTGCCCTCGCATTCCTTGATGATGGCCGTGCCCAACTGCTCCAGAGGCGTCTCCTCAGCACCTAACAGCTGCCCAGACAGAAGAAGAACCTGCTCAGGCCCTGGGCACAGCCTCCCTGGGCCAGGTGACCCTGGCCACGTCCCTTCCCTTCCCATCCAGAAAATGAGGAGGGTGGGCCAGGCGGTCTCTGCGGCGGCCTCCAGACCCTCCAGAGGCCACCTCCCCTACCCCCAGCCTCGTAAGGGCTGAGGGTGCCAGAGTCACGACTCAGGCCGACGAGAGGCTCCCCGAAGCTGGCCAGCCTACCGGTACAGGTCTGGACCCGAGTTCTGGCTTTGCCTCTCCCCAGCCTGTCTGAGCATCTTCTACGAGGGGCCTGGGGCTTGGGTTAGAATCCTAGCCTTTTCACGGTCCATGTGATCCTGGCCACTTCCCCATGGCAGGATGCCTCAGTTTCCCCATCTGTGAAATGAGGGGAGTTGTCCTCTTAGGTCCCTTCCAGATTCAGCCCTAGGATCCTAAGCTACTTGTCCTTTCTGGGCCTCAGTTTCCCCAATCAGTAAAACGAGGAGCAGGTGAGATGGCTCTGGAGATGGGACTCCATGACCTTCACCCAATGGGGGTTAGAAGAGAAGCATCTGCAAACAGCAAAGAACCTGGTGCTGTAGAAAATGTAAAGCCCTTAGAGCCAGGAGCCCCCTGAGCCGTGTGACCCTGGGCAAGTGCCTTCCCTGCTCTGGGGGCCGGCTAGCTGCGGATCCCACACCATGCACGGAAGGAACTCCAGGCCGGCCTTTGGGGGCAGAACCTGCCAATGCCCGGCAGGCCTGGCGTGTGGTGCCACAGTCCAGGAGGTTCCCCTGAACTGGGGCTGCCCGCCCACCTCCCCCCAGCCACGTGCCCCCAGGGCCCCATCCTTCCTCCTGCAGCAGGACTCTGACTGCACCTCTCCCTCGCAGCTGGGTACAGCGATAGACCGGGCATTGGTGTCCGAATCTTCCTGGCCCCATCTGGGGTTTTCCTGGCATGGACACTGGAGTGGTTTGCCATTTCCTGGCCCAGCTCATTTTACAGATGAGGAAACTGAGGCAAGCAGGGTGAAGTGACTTGCCCAGGGTCACACAGCCAGTAAGCGTCTGAGGCTGGATTTGAACTCAGGTCTTCCTGACTCCAAGCTCAGCGCTCTATCTACTGCGCAACCTAGCTCAGCCCCCTTCTATGTGATTCTGCTAGCATCTCCCAGGGAACACCTCAAGCGTAGACTGTCCATAGACAAGTGTGTTGTTTCCCCCAGGAGAATGAATCCTTGAGGGCAGGACTGGCTTCCCCCTAGGTCTTTGTAACCAGAGACTAGCACAATAGTGGCATACAGTTGGAGCTTAATAAATGCCTGTTGCCTAAATAAGGGCAGGGACTGTCTCATCTGTTGTCTTTGTATCCCCAGCACTTACTTGCCAGGACTGGATGGGTCCCAAACCTTCACTTTACAGAGAGGGAAACTGAGGTCCAGAGGAAGTAAGGGGCTTGCCCCGTGGTCACACAGCTCCAAACCCACGGCTGTGCCAGGTGTGCATCACCGGCACCCGAGGGCTCTCCTATTAGAGCCAGGGGTAATTAACCCACGTTTCCCTTCTCCTCCCCCAGACATGTGCAAGTGGATTCGTCCAGATGCTTCCCAGATTCACCACCACCCCCTCCACCCCCCACCCGGGAGCGACCAAGTCCGCGAAAATGGGGGGAACGAGGGCGGGAATGAAACAATGAGATTTCTTCTCGACCGCCAATCAGAAAGCAAGAACGGCTCCTCTGTGCCAATTGGCGGGTGGCTCAGAAGCGGGCTCCTATGATTGGCCTAGAGTCAGTTGTTCCCGCCTCCACACCGCCAACTCCTCCAATGAGTATGTTGCCCCCCCCTCACCCGGCTCGGCTCCCCAGGGAGAAGCTGCCAAGCTAAGCGGGACCGTCAGTGGACGAATGGGGCGTTTGAGGGCTGAGGGGGCAGTCTGAGAAAAGGACTTGGGGCCTCCCAGACTTACCAGGATGGTGGCTACATCCAGGGTCGGCAGCTTGTCCAGAGGTCGCAGCAACGCCATCTTCACACCAGTCCGAGAAGCCTAGCCGGAGGATAGCTGTGCGAGTGCGCATGTGCGCCCCGCTTTTAAACAGTCCTTTGGCGGGCCCGCTGTCGTGCGTGACGTCACTTCCTGCTTCCGTGACCCGAGGAGCACGAGGGCGGGAAAGTCTCTTTCCCATTACATCACCTGCTGGTGGGGCGGGGCTCCGGAGTCCCTGGGCTTTAAAGAGGCCGTTACCTGGTTTCTGAAAGTGCGCCCTCCTGGGGCCTCCCCAAAATGTTAGGAGGAAGAATCAGTAGTTCAACAAGCATTTATTGAGCACCTGCTGTGTGCCAGGCACTGTGCCAAGATGTAAGACAAACAAAACTGTATATAATATATATTATAGATAAACATATACACACATATACATATATACACCCATAAAAAAATGCGGAAGGCTAGGGCTCTGAATTGCTCCTAACCCTACATACTTCTGGGACCTCTCCCTGAGCCTCAGTTTCCTCATTTGTTAAAAGGGGATGGTCTTGATACCACCTGACATACCCAGGTGGTTTCAATTCAACAAACATTCAGTAAGCAACTGTTGTCTGCAGGGCCCTGGGGAAGATTGAGTCAAATCAAACAGAGCATTAATTAAGTGCCTACTGTGTGCCACGTGCTGTGCTACTGAGGTAAGCCCATAGAACACAAACAGTGTTTGGTGAGGAAAGTGCTTTGTGTATACAGTTATCCTTTCCACATTGCAGAGGTTAGGAGCTGGGGAGGTAGAGGCAGGGACCCCCCCCACCGACTTGGAAAATCCATGTAAAATTTTTTGGCTCTCCCTTTGCACCAGAGAAGAAGTCGGAATTTTTTCTTTCTCTTCTATGAGGTGTTTACAGTACCTTGTAAAATTTGGGTTAAGTGTTTAGTCATAGGCCTGTGGCTTCTGCTAAACTCCCAAAAAGTTACCATTTAATTTCTTAAGCTGATCTGTGATGTATTGAAACCACAATGGAGAAAGCTGAGTCACAACGTGGAGGGGATAACTGCACTTTACCACAGAGTGCTCTTAACGGGAGCTCTTGCTACCTCTGAGACCTTGGGCACATCCTTTCCTCTCTGGGCTAAAGCATGGTGCCGTGGAATGAGGCTCTGGTTTTGGATTCAGAAGGACCTGGGTCTGAAACCTGCCTCTCCCTCCTCACTGTCCACGTGACCTTAGGCGAGTGACTTCTCCCTGGGTCTCATCTGTGAAAGGAGGGAGTTAGCAGGGCCTTCTCCAGCCCTCAGCTCCGTGATCCTCCGCCCTTCCAAAGCTCCACTGCTTGGGGCCCTCCTCCAGAGGCACATCCATGGATGAGGCTGCTTTGGGATGGACAGACCACCGGCTGCTGCTGAGCAGACTGCTTCGTGGAGGCCCAGAACCCCGGGGCCCCCTCGAGGACATTGTCCAAAAAGCATTTATTGCGGAACACGCAGGGCTCTGTTGCCTGGCTGGGGTGATATGAAGCAAAAACGAAGCAATCCTCGACCCCCCAGAGCTTGTGCTCCAGCTGGGAAGCCTCAAGACCATCCCTCAGGGCTCTGCTAAGGACCAGCTTCCCACCGCCAGTCAGGCGGCAGTGCTCGCCCCCTCCGCAGGGTGCTTACTGCCCGTCTCAGGCTCTCCCCCATCAGAATCCTCCAGCGCAGGGACCGGTCTTTATTTTGTCCTTATGTGCCCACTGTTACAGAGAGTGCCCTCCACATGGGTGGATCCCCAACCCTGTCACACGAAGGGGTTAAACCAGGGGATCTGTCTATGGTCCTGATCTCACCTTGGCCCTGGATTTGCCAGATTAATTTCCTCCCTCTGAGCCTCCGTTTCCTCATCTCTAAAACGAGCTCCTACCAAATGGTAGGAGACAGGAGGCCTCAGAGACTTCAGAAGAGCTGGCTGCTCCTGTCCTTCCAGATCTGACAGTCACAGGGACCAGGGCCCTGACAAAACGGAATCTCAGGATAATAACATTGCTAGTGCTAGCCAGCGTGCAGCAGACACAAGAAACGTTTATTGAATGAATAAATGACTGAATGAACAAGGGAGCCCATCTCTGAACAGAAATTTCCTCTATAACTTCTAGGATAAAGTGGTCTTCAAGCCTCCATTTAGAAACCTCCAGTGAAGGGGGACCAACCCACTTCCTGCTAAGTGGCCCATTCCATTTGGGCTAGCTCACATTGCTAGGAAGGTTGGAGTTTTCCCCCATTGCTGCTTACCTCTGAGGCTAAGATGAGCGCGTTTGACCCTCTTCCCCAGGCAACCCTTTGGATCCCTGATACTGTCCTGTCCAGCCCAGGCCCTTCCAGACTGTATTTGATTCAATTAAAATCACCCCCTCATCTGATCCTTGTCTGGCCTGGCTCACCCTCTCCTCTTTCTCAATGGCCTTGCTAGAATGTGGCCTCCAGTCGTTAACTGGACGGAAAGCGGCAGAGAGCCCTGGCTTCCTTGGTTCTACACACAATCCTTCACTGAGATCATCAGCTCTGAGCTGCAGATAAGGAACCAGACCCAAGGGGGAAGAGTCAGAGCAGGGCTTAGATGCGGGTCTTCTGGCTCCAAACTCAAGACACTTTCCACTGAACCACACTGCCTCCCAGGCTCCCTCTTACTCCCCAGATTCCCTTCTATGCTTCCTTCCTTCTCACTCTAGCTGCCCAGACTGGGTTCCTTCCTGGTAGAGACTTGTAGCTGTCAGGTGACCTCCGGTCAAATATTAATGGCACCCTGGGGGTTATGGGGACCAGCCCAGACTTTGGAGTCAAGAGGCTGGCTTGGATCTCAGTTCTTCCACTTACCAGTTGTGTGGGAAAGGGCTTGGAGATCATCTTAGCCAAGCCTCCCAATTTTCAGATGAGGAAGCTGGCACCAGAGACTTGCCACACAGCCCTTAGTAGCAGAATCGAGATTTGAATCCAGGTCCTCTGACACTCTGAGCTCACACGGTTGTTAGTGGCAGATGAGCTGGAGTAAGACCCACTTCTCCTAACGCCCAAGGCTCTACCTTCCTTGACCCTGAGAGTTCCAGAGCTTGTGTCCCTTGACCCTCCTGACAAATAGGATGAGTACTGTAGGTGGTCATACCTAGCCCCCCATGAACTGTGGTGATCTCAGCCCGAGGGTCCCTGCCAGCCTAATCCCGCCCCTCCCTCCCCTGAAGACAGCCGCTCCCCCTCTCTTCTCTCACCATGTGACACCTCCCTCCTTTCTCCCCATCACAAGCTCTGTACCACGTGCATAAATGAGCCAAGGTTGGTTTCCCCAGCAACTGTGGATAAAGCCCTCAATCTACCCCAGCCTGCTGATTGGTGGAGGTAGATACCGCCTCCTGCTATCCTGAGATAGGGAGAGAAAGGAGCTGACCAGGGCGCTAGAGCCTGGATGTGCTGGTGGACCAGTGAAGCGGCTCTCTTTCAGACCTAACTGAACCCCGGGACTCCATCCTCCAGGACGGGCATCAATCTCAGCATTTCTTCCCGCAGCCCTGGGCCCCCCAGTGTCTCCTGCAGATGTTGGTATCTCCAAGGAGCATCCCTAGGCCACGGCTAAGCCAAGAGCTGCGCCTGGATCAGGGGCTGAGCATACCCATAGCTTGAGGTGAGTCAGGGGCAGGGGTGGGAACAGCTCTGGTAGGCAGGGAGAGATGCCAGCTGGGGCTTGTCTGCCCAGGGGCCAGACTGAATCAGGGAGGTTCATTTCTAGGGCCTCCGCAGGAACAAAGGGACCAGAGATGCCATCTAGTGCCACCTGAACCCCTAGAACTAGGAGAAGGTGCAGTGGGGAAGGTGGTACCCCGCCCCCGGGAATGTGACCTTCCTCCCATATCCCAAGGGTTGAAGAGGCAGCCAGACATAGTGAAAACAGCTCAGGCTGTACTCAGACACTTGGATGCGGATTCTGGGCGGACTATACCAGCTGTGTGACCTTGGGTCAACCACTTTACCTCTGAAAAGTATGGTGGGGTTCACCATCCCCGCTGTGCCTGAAGAGAGTGGTTTGTTACTACTGCTCTGTCTGCATGGGAATTGTTGTTTTGAGGATAAAACATCAAACACGTGGTGAATCTCAATCTGAGGAGCCCCAGGCACTGAAGGACTGGTAGGAGGGTCCCCAAGGTCTGTCTGGCAAAAGTTCCCTGACAATGACCCCTCTTGCCTCCTCCCAAACTCCCCACTGTCCAGCTTGGGGGTGGCTGGAGAGGAATGCCCTCCAAGCACCTGCTGGGTTCCTTCCTGGAAGTGTAGGAGGCGTGTTCCGAATCTGTGTTTGGCTCTCCAGGGAGACTGATTGGTCTGTGGAGAACTGTGAAGGGAGGACGAGGACACCTGGACCCCTGTTCCCCGGGGCTGCCCCCGACTCCAGGCAACCACCCCTCCAGGTCTTAGCTTTACCCCTGGGGAAAGGGAGCTCTAGGAATGGCTGCATAGAGCCTGGCGATCTTTGGAGAGGTAAACAAGCCATGGGCTTCCCACTGGGGATGGGGCAGACGAAGGAGCCCTGACCTTTCTCCACCAAATCCAGGATGTTCGAGACAAAGTCCTTTTCTCTATTGGCCAATGAGATTCTTGGGGTCAAGACACCGGCCCCTCCCTTCCAGTGGGCCACACTCAAGTTCTCACAAACACTGGCTGTTTTTTCCTCAGGGCTTTCAGGTTACAAAACACTTTCTCGCAACTCAGAGGTAAGTTGTGCAAGAATTGTTACTCCCATTTTATAGATGAGAAGGCTGAGGCTTAGAAAGGTTGACTTTGATCACACAGCTGGGTAAACGACAAAGGCAGGCTGTGTACCCAGCCTTGCGGGACTCCAAGGCCAGCACTCGTGACTAAGCACCCTCAGGAAATCAGTGAGGTCGGTGATCACCTCCCCGCCCCCCAGTCCTCTGGCCCAGAGCCCTGAGTAGATCCTCCTGCTTCCTCCTCCGCAGTTTGGTGAGGGTCCTTAGTGCTAGGTGATGGCTGGGATCCCTGCCTGAGCAGGAAGTCTCTCCCCACCAGACCAAGGCCTGCCCCCAGTGAAAGGCCCCTGAGGATCAGCGGACAGGACCACAGAGGTCCACGTCC